GGTGAAATATATCAAACCCATAAATCTGGTGGAATATTTATTTGGAAGAAAATTACATTATTTAGTTGGACAAATAAAGGCAATTTTTCTAGCCCATTTGCATAGTTGCAAACTCATGATGATATTTAAACTGTTATGAATTTGCACAGCATGACTTCCCAAAGTCAACAACCATGTTTTACCAAATTAACCCCATTCATTAATCACACAAGATAGGACATAAGGCTAAAATATTGGATAATTTGTAGTTGAATGTGTCATGTCAACTCAGCCTCTGTGAGTCTCTATAAGAGAAAGTATCATAGGGCTTCCTGGGAGAGGCTTACTGATGGAAGCAGCTTAACATAGCTGCTCCCGAATTCCTGGTCGCNACAAAGCACTAAGGCAATGAATAAATTGTCAGAGCTGCCACCCGGTGCTCCCCACCACCTTTTATAGTTACTTAGTAATTAGGATAACCTGCATCCCATGCGTGCGCACACCTATCCCCTCGTAACCGAGAACAAAAAACACCCACCCGGCAATTAATCATGGATTGTTGTCAGTCAGTTATCACTAGCTTTGTTGATTTACTCAGCTGCTTGTGGAGGAGTGAATCCTGGTGAGTCTTGGCAGCTGGCACGGGTTTCTCCCCTGAATGGCATCTCCAGGCCTCTGGGCTGGCCAGAGCTGACATGCAGCCTCCTACCACGGAGACAGCATTTGGGGAGCTACAAATTACAGTTAGTTAGGAGTCGAAGGACTCCTTCCCCCGGTTTTGTGGGATGTCTGCGGTGGAATCTCGCTATCAGGTGGGGCACCCTACAGTCCTTGCTATGAACCCACAATGCCTCCGACAGGGAATAACCTTTCCATAAAACAAGGTATTGTAACCATCCCCTGTGCCACCTGGTATCTAGTATATCTTGCACTACATAGTGCTGTTCCCCATCTACAGTAACCGGGGATGGCAGCTGTAGTGGGTATCCTCTGATATCAAATGCCTGAACTGATTGAAGCAGGCTGCAGTGGAAGACTGGATGTGTTTTCCCCAGTAGAGTGGGGAGTCTTAGCTGCACTGTGACTGGGTTAATAACTCGCACGATTGGGAAAGGCCCAATGAATTTGGGCCCGAGTTTCTTACATGGCAATGGCAGCCTGAGATATTTAGTGGAGAAGTATACCCTCTGGCCTACATGGAAAGGTCCTTGCGCCCTCTGCCTTTTATCGGCACTCTTTTTATATGTGGCAAAAGAGTGACATAACGCATTCCTCACCACTTTCCAAACCTTTTGCATCAGGGCTATCCACTCCTGCGAGGTTGTGTAATCTGGGCGCACCTGAGGACACTCCGGAATTGGGACGAACTCCTGCCCTGTAGCCACATGAAATGAGGTAAACCCTGTACTTTTGTGCACTGCATTGTTATATGCAACCTCTGCAAAGGGAAGTAGTTCAGCCCAATCGGTCTGTTGGTACTGGACGTAACATCTTAAGTAGCGCTCCACCATCACGTTTGCTCTCTCCACAGCACCATTGGTCACGGGGTGGAAGGCTGTACTAAGTCCCTGTGAAGACCCCACCATTGCCACGAATTTGCACCAGAACCGGGCAGTGAATTGCACTCCCCTGTCTGAAATTATCCTTTTGGGGATGCCATGGATTCTATACACATGGGTAATGAACAGTTTGGCCAGCTTCCTAGCAGATGGAAGGCCGGGACATGCTACAAAATGAGCCTGCTTGGAGAACAGGCCCATTATTGTCCAAATGACCTTGTTCCCTTGGCTGTCTGGTAAATCCACGATAAAGTCCATGGCTATCTGTTCCCATGGCCGAATTGGATCTGCCACCCGCTGTAAAAGTCCAGGAGGCCGGCCAGGCCGGGCCTTCATAATAGTGCAAACAACACAACTCCTTACATATTCCTCTATGTCCTTCATGTGGAGCCACCAGAACTGACGATTTACTAAATGCAGAGTCTTGAGGAACCCAAAATGTCCACCCGAGCGAACGTTGTGGCAGCGACACAGCACAGCCACCTGTACCACACTTGGTACATATAACTTCGACCCCTTCCAAGCAAAGCCCTCTCGCTGTGTTAATAAAGTTTGATTTTCTTGAAACCACTGGTCCATTGGGAGTGCTGCTTTGATTGCTCTGGAGAGGTCCTCCCCCTGGGCATACAGGTTTGGTGCAGGTTGGGCCTGTTGAGTGGCTAACACCCTAGGCTGTGAGGTCGGGATGATAGCCTGCACTAGATCCTCCCTTTTATTGCAATACTGTTTGCAAGAGAGGGCATCGGTTAAAAGTTTTTGCTACCCGGTATATATTTTAATTGGAAGTTGAATCACTGAAAACATAACTTGTTTTGGCAACAATCTTCGTGAGGTCTGGAGGGCCTCCAAATTCTTGTGGTCTGTCCAGACATCGAAGGGTATCCCTCCCCCTTCTAGTAAATGCCGCCAC